CGAGTCAGTGAGGTGGGATTTCTTACAATGGCCACATGACAACATATAATAGTAATAGTTCGTGGAATGTTACGTCTTTTAACTTCTTTTAAACACGATTAGGTACATAATATATAATATATGTACGCCAAAAGCTCTAGTTTTTCTTTACCCGCAAATAATAACTAGAATAATAATTATTTCTGTATAACCACAAAAACAAAACACGAACAACAATTTTGTGAAATTATCAATTTTAAAACAGGGAATAATTTGTTATGTGTCGGTTGACTCATTTCCGAGTAATACTCTTACTTGTGTAAAGGAGCACACGGGAACAAAAATGAAGTGATGATGAGTGAGATCGAGAAGAAAAATATAGGCTACCAAATAAGATTCGGGTCGTTACAAAGATTACTATGGATATGCTTTCCAAGAACACGTAACTTGCATATTATTAACTATATCCCAATATAGTTTATCCATATATATCCAGCTCAAACTACTAATCGACAATGAATCACATCTGTAACATTTCTACTTCTGATATATCGTGATGCATGCTTAAATATTTAAAAGAATTGAACTGATTATTTTTTGTGACCAAAATAATTGAATTGATTATTTTTTGTGACAAAAAAAAAATTGAATTGATCAAAATTTTCAGAAATCGTTGAAACAGACAAAACAAAACGGTAAAAGTAAAGGAAAACAACATCCATCCTAATAAAAACCCATAAATCCGCAAGAGATATTATTTGTGTCACTAAAGTACACTAATCTTGTTAATCATTTATATAGAAAGAACTTGAAAATTAAATATTTTTTGAATAGAAGTACTGGAATGATTGATAATTTATCAAGACATAATTCGTGTTACTGTGTGAATTAGATCAACACACAAGGAAATATCACGTAACAAGATACACTATATCAGTGGCATAGTGGGTCAAACGCATATCACGATTTTTGTGTCAAAAATTAACGTAATGAACATCACACAGTAGAACCTACGAACCAAATGGGTGACATGGATCAGACCCATTAGCCAGGATTTTCGGCAGCGTTAACATCAAAAGAGGAAATTGAAAACTCGATTTTCTGGTATGCTTTAGTGAATCAATAATGATGGTTACTTGCTTCTGATTTACTAGTTTCAAATCTTCACCATCAATTAAAATTGTAAAGCAAAAGAATTGTACTTGTCGAAGAATATTGTCGTAAGGTATTATCCTATCTTTTGACTTATAAATTCTAAGTTCTTTTTGGTCAGTACATAATACTTTTTTGGTCAGTATAGGAATGGCTCAAAACATTTCCTTGTCATCCATATCGTTATGGTCAACACATAATACATTTTTGGTCAGTATATAGGAATGACTATGATCAGTGCGTAATATTTTTTTGGTCAGTATAGGAAGGGCTTAAACCAGTCCATATCTACATTTTTGGTCAGTATATAGGAATGACTATGTAAGTGTATTAATATGGTCAAAAGAAAGTGACACAAGTTAAGAGAGTGTTGTGATAAGCATAAGAGAAGGGAAGTCAGTCAAGAAAGGACCTTTGAAAGTGAGTTTGATCGAGAAGTCTAGCTAGATACAGTATCACAACCTTCATTTGTGTGGGAAATTGGGATCAGCACATCTCTTTCCACTTTTATCTCGTGCACTCTCTTCACCGTTCATTCCATCTCTCTCAATGATTTGATTATATTTGTTCTATATGTTAAAGGATAATTACACTCTCGTTGGTTGGAGCATTACTATTAACCGGTGTGGCTTGTTTTTCTCTTCTTGTAGGATGATATTGGCTTTGGTATAAAGAGTACTGGTTTAAATCACTGATGAAGCAAGACTGGTCTTGGAACCATCCTGCACTTGAATACCTTGAGCTCTATCACGCTGCACACAAGTGAGAAGGAAAAAGAGCACCTTTAACCCATGTTGCTTAGAGAGTTGTTTAGGGGGAGAAAGTTGCTTATTAATGTATGCAAAAAATAGCTAGCGAAATTCTTTAGTGAGAGACAAATAAATAATGGCTTTGGTCACATTTGGTTTGTCCTATGACAGACAGAGAGTCTTTATTCTTGTGTCTTTTATTAATTCCCACATGTCCTTCTTTTGTGGTCGACTCTCCCTGATTCTTGTGAGTGCTTTAATGTAAATTGTTTCACCTTCAAGTTTGAATGTTATAAGTTCGAACATTGTCTACCTCCATGTTTGGGTTTTTTTTATTCGCATTGCTGATAACTTTGGTGTCAATTGTATCACAAACATACTTCCTCAAAAGTTGAACGACTTGATGATATTTAATAAACCCTATTGTCTATTGAAAGTGAATCCAAAACAGAGTCCTCTAATTGTCTTATGATTAAAAAACATAAGCGTATAAACCATTCCCCAGTTATATTATAGACAAGAGTGCAGATAATTACAAACTAAAACCTACAATTTTTGTCTTGGGAGTTTAGAAAAAAAAAAATTTGTCTTGTTGCAATATCCTCACGATAGTAAACCACGATACCATGAACACTTTAGCTACTACGGTTACTCCAGTAGCATGTTACTATACTTTTTGCTTAAAATTCCTTATACTTTCTAAAAATAGAAGCGGTACCACACTTGTACTGGGATATTGGAGGGGTTAGTTGCGTCTTACATCCTTAAACATTCGAAACTCCTGGAGTTAAAAATATGTTAGGAATCAAATTGGATTTTATTCAAAATGGAAAAATAAAAAGATTGATAAAATACCTTTAAGAGGATTCACAATAGACATTTGAGGTAAATAACCATCTTGGTTATATGCGTGATATTGGCACGGCTCAATCGAACAAAATCAATCTCTATCAACTAAGAGTACGACTATTTGATTGAACCGCACTAATATCTCGCGTTACCAGCTTACATCATAATCAAAACCCGTCTCATCCGATTATCATCATCTAGTTAGCTCCAGAAATCCAAGAAACCAAAAATAAAAGTAACATCAACTAATATATCAAATAAACATATAAAATGATCTCAGCACTAAAAATGTTACATTACCGGTGATCGTATCCGCGCAGAACTCTTATTTTCAGCAACGTCCAAAACAAAAGTACCAAACAGAAGATCAGAGGAATGAAGAAATGCTGCTGTTTGCAAAGTCTATGAGACTGCAAAATGAAGAAGAGGATCTAAATATGAAGATGGTTGAAGAAGAGAGTCACTAGCATTAAATTAGACCCAACAACTCCATACCATAAAGGAGGTTGGTTTATTAAATTTGAATTGTTTCTGTAGGAAACTTTTTGAAAAGAGTATTTATATGTGTTCTTATTAAATTTGAATTGTTTTTATAGTTTATGTACTTTCATTCAAGCGATGATATTATTGAAAATAATCTCATATGATTTTCAAGAACAAGAGTTTGTTGTCGGATATCTAAATCATTAGTCTAACCCTCAAACTCTTCTAACCTAATCAATATAATCTGTTTTTAACATAAAATATATGCATTGTTAGTATTTTATCATAGAAAACAAGAAATTACAGGAAGTCCATGGCATGAAGTTAACTAATTAAATTGTAGCCGACGAAATAAACGATTTTCCCATGAGCATTCAATTTAGTATTAATGAGGTTTGTAAGAGAAAGGCAAGGCATGTTGGTGGGGTTATGTCACTGCCAGTAGTATACATTTGAAATTTCGAAATTAATATGGCTCATCTTTCCAAATATTCTCCCTCCCTCTCTATTTAATATTTATTTATTTTCTTGTTAAGTTCCTATCATTTATTTTTAATATTTCCTTACAAAAACAAAATATTCTCTATATATTAATTCTGGGATATTACAACTTATTTTCGTAGCTATGTATCATCACCAAAATGATTTTTAGAATCATTACAAATAAATTGGTTCATATATATAGTATACTTGTTATTAAACTAACTATTAAAATTATTAGTAGTATACAAAACAATATTTTTTATTTCTTTAAATAAAAACTTCGGAATTATCTAATACTCCCTCCGTTTCAGATTAAATGTCATTCTAGTGTAAAATTTTCGTTTCAAAATAAGTGTCGTTTTATAATTTCAATGCAAAATTTATTTATTTTAAATTTTTTTCTATTTTTTCATTGGTTGAAAAGTGCTTAGGTGTATAGGTAATTGTGTTTTTATTTTGAAAATAGGTAAAATTAATTGTTTTCTTAATATGTGTGCAAAAACTTAGAGTGACAACTAAATTGAAACGGAGGGAGTATGTGATTACACCTTTTTGGTTTTCTTGGTAAACAATCTGAAAACTTGTGTTCTATTTAAGTTAGGCTCAGTTTATTAGTTACTATTCAGTTAGGAAATTAATTTAGAATTGTGGTAAGTCATAGATAGGTTAATGCATTTACTTATTTTAATCTCTTGATTTACGTACATACACTATCACCACACAAGTCACTTTTCTTTTCAGTTATCCAAATATTGTTCGATATGCATAATGCATGGCTCTTCGATGTTTTGCTGTTCTGTGGTGCCTTGCTTCTAGACCTTTTAATAGCACCCATCATTAACATATCGTTTCTCATCATCCCATCTAGTTTCTATTTTCTTCCATGTTTTATATTTGTTTTCAATATTGTTTCTGCCTTAGAACGTAATTTATATCAGCACAATCTAGTTTTATGGTTTCTACCATATTTGTAACTTGACTAAAAGAAGCAGCTGTAAAAAAAGACTTGACTAACAACAGAGGAACATAGCTAAGATAACTGATCAATGGCATCAATCTGTTGATCTGAAACGACTTGATACACCTGAATCCTTAATAGAAAATTCCAATTATAGAGCAAGAAGATAATCTTAAAATTAAAACCTCAAAAATAGCAATACCGATGCGTATATATAACACCACAAACACAAACAAACAACACACAAGTTTTAACAATACAAAATATATATATATCTATAACATCTAGAAAGAAAGAAACAAAAAATGAAAAATATTTCAATCTTTCTATTTGTTTTTACCCTTTGCATGATCGACAATGTATATGGTGCCAATTTATTTAAAGGGAAGAAGACAACACTCGTATTCAGGAACGGCCTTAGTTACAAGAATTGGCTCAAGGTACACTGTAAATCAGGGAACGACGACATGGGTGTCCACTATCTGAAACCGGGTGGAATCGATTACCAATTCAGTTTCTACGACAACGTTTTCGGGGGCACGCTTATCTGGTGCACCATGAGCAAAGGACCTGATTATAAGATCTCTTCTAGGTTTGACGCCTATAAACAGAACAAAGACAAGTCTCATGGAACCTCGTATAACTATGTTGCTAAAGATGATGGCATCTATCACAGTAATCTTGTGGAATTTAGACTTCACAAGAAGTTTAACTGGAAATAAATATCACAAACTGAATCTTCCATGTTATTAGATGTTTTCACTATATGTACTCATATATTAACACCATTTATTTGTTATACTTGTAAAAACCAATGTTATACTTGTAAAAATTGCTTTTATTTGTGACACTGTATTTAAATTTTTGTAAATTAAACTTTGGTCTTATTCAATTTATATTTTCTAAAATTTATATTCTTTATGTTTCTTTATTAGATCGCGAAATGATCTATAAACCCTAAACAAGCCAATTTAGCATAAGCGAATTAAATCAATCACCAAACACTTAACAAACAATTCTAACCCAGATTTATTGAATCAATCTCCAAACACTTAACATACTTTCATTTTTAGATTATTTCTGCATCGTTTTTGCATCTCGAGACAAGGCTTCGGAGAACTAGATATAGTTAAACTTTAAAGATATCTCATGCAATGAATAATTAGTATTTTTAAAGTTTAACTATATTTAGTTAAATGAAGAATGTAGCTTCCCTGACGTCGAAGCTACACTCTCCGGCGACATAAGAGATCACAGATGGAACAGAGTTTGGTTTAGTAAGGGACACACACTTGAAATCGCAAGAGGAAAATGCCCATACATACGAAAACAAAATGAAAGATATTCTACTATCGCTACGTATATGCATGCGGCAGTCTTTTTTATCGTTTTCAGATTTTCTAAAAGAAAGTTAAATTACAAAAAGAGCCAAAAGAAACTGCATGAAAGTAGAGATGATATTGGTGTAAAATGGTTTGTCAAAATAACATCAGAAGGAGACAATCTAATTATAACTTTCATACGGTATGATTTCTCCATCATCTTCTGAATTTTAGTAGTATCAAAATTTTCATTTCTAATTTGAAGAATGTATTTATAGCTGAGAAAGAATATGATGGTTTTAACTTGTGTTTTTTTTTTATTTGTTAGGTTTTTGATTGTCAAAAATGAAAACAAAATAAGACCATATCTTTGAAGTTCATAGATGTTTCTTCACTTCTCAGATTATGTTTACGTAAATAAAGACAAACACCGATCACTATTCTTTTGATGCCTGCCCCATCGTTTTACAAATAGTCGTTTTGTTTGTTCAATGCGCCAAAAAACTCGTATTAATGTAATGCGGCACGTTTCTAAAAATATCAGTGTCCAATTACCATTTACAGTACGGCAGCGTTTTTAAGAATCCTAGTTATTTGATATATCTAAGTGAGTAGCAACATTGTTCCTAGATCAAGATAATTAGAAATTTTAAAATGTCCAAAACTATTAAATAAAGTATCTAACTTGTACATTTTGATGATACAATCATTTATATGAAACAATTTTTTCAGAAAAAGATAAATTTCTTACCCAAAATCTACTTTGAAGATTGCCCACTCTCACCCAAGGGCGAGTTAACACCACCGCCTCTTTTAACTTATGGTAGTCTATGGATTTTCTTTGCTTTTGGAGGTTTTCCATTTGTTCTAAAAAAAGCGAGCGCGTTACCCACAAAATACATTCAAATATGTATCTACCTCCGCGACGTCGTATCATCAAAAGTTACAAAACATTTTTTGCCTTTTATTTTTTATAAAATGTTAATTCTCTTGAAATAATTAACAAATATCTTTTTTGTAACTGAAGCTAAATAATTAACGAATATCCCGACAGATACTTTCGATTAGATCTTCAATTTTTTCCAAAATTTCTCTTTTTTATTTTCTCCGGCGAGATTAGATCTTTGGTGCTTCGTACAACACCTTGTGGACTTTGAGAAATTGTGGGAAGCTCAACGGAGGAGAAAGTGGTGGCTGTGATTTTGGTCGGTGGTCCGACCAAAGGTTAAAAAAAAAACATAATCTGAGAAGTGAAAAAACATCTATGAACTTCAAAGATATGGTCTTATTTTGTTTTCATTTTTGACAATCAAAAACCTAACAAATATAAAATTCTTTCTTTCTCATCTATAAATACATTCTTCAAATTAGAAATGAAAATTTTGATACTACTAAAATTCAGAAGAACCGCACGAAAACAAAAGAAGAAATAAGAAAAACCTTCGTTATTATTCTATTACAAACGAATCCTAATATAAGCCAAACCCAAGAATTATAGCTAAAAACTTCAACAATTTATGTACTATATATATACCACAGAACAATACCAAAAAACAATTCATTCAATCAACAAACATGAAGCTCCTCTGTTTGACTTTTGTCTTCTTGGTCTCAACGACTCTTACAACCGCAACTCCTCCAGACGCAACAATCTACCAAAACTTCCTCCAATGCTTCACAACCCAAACACGCGCTCCACCCAACACCTTAACCGACGTCGTATTCCCCCAAACCGCACCCGCTTACACCCCGGCCTTACGCAACTACATCCGAAACGCGCGTTTCAACACCACCACCTCTCCCAAACCCGCGATCGTGATCGTCGCGCGTTCCGAGTCCCACGTCCAAGCCACCGTAGTCTGCACCAAAACGCTGAAATTCCAGCTCAAAACCCGAAGCGGCGGCCACGACTACGAAGGCGTCTCCTACACCTCGAACCTCCCTTTCTTCCTCCTCGACATGTCCAGCTTCCGTGACATCACCGTCGAGGGAGAAACCGCCTGGATCGGAGCCGGCGTCACGCTCGGCGAAGTCTACTACCGTATATGGGAAAAGACAAAGACACACGGCTTCCCCGCCGGAGTTTGTCCCACCGTCGGCGCCGGAGGTCACATCAGCGGCGGAGGGTACGGAAACATGATCAGAAAATACGGTCTCTCCGTTGACTACGTCACAGACGCGAAGATTGTTGACGTTAACGGACGTGTTCTTGATCGTAAAGGTATGGGAGAAGATCTCTTTTGGGCTATTAACGGAGGAGGAGGCGCGAGTTTCGGTGTGATATTAGGTTTCAAGATCACGTTAGTTCCTGTCCCCGAGACAGTTACTGTTTTTAGAGTTCAGAAGAATCTAGACGAGAACGCTGTTGACATGGTTCATAAATGGCAGTTCGTTGCTCCTAAAACCGATCCTGGTCTCTTCATGAGGGTTTTATTACAGCCCGTGACGAGGAACAAGGTCCAGACGGTTCGCGCCTCGGTCTTGGCTCTGTTTCTTGGTAAGTCAAGCGAGGTTTTGTCTCTGTTAAACAAAGACTTTCCGGAGCTTGGTTTGAAACAAGAGAATTGTACGGAGCTTACGTGGATACAGTCTGTTCTGTGGTGGGATAATCACGATAACGCTACGCTTGTTAAACCGGAGATACTGTTGGAACGTAACTTGGACACGGCGTCTTATGGGAAGAGGAAGTCAGATTTTGTTGAGAAGGAGATAACTAAAGAAGGGTTAGATTACTTGACGAAGAAGATGATTGAAGTTGGGAAGATTGGGTTAGTGTTTAACCCTTACGGTGGGAAAGTGAGTGAGGTGGCTACGACGAAGACTCCGTTCCCGCATAGGAAGAAGCTTTACAAGGTTCAGCACTCGATGAACTGGAAAGATCCGGGGACGGAAGCTGAGAGCAGTTTCTTGGAAAAGGCGAAAAGCTTTTATAGCTACATGGCTCCTTTTGTGACTAAGAACCCTAGACACACGTATTTGAATTACAGGGATTTGGATATTGGTGTTAATAGCCATGGTCCGAATGCTTATAGAGAAGGTGAGGTTTATGGGAGGAAGTATTTTGGAGAGAATTTTGATCGGTTGGTGAAGGTGAAAAGTACTGTGGATCCTGAAAATTTCTTTAGAGATGAACAGAGTATACCTACCTTGCCTAGCAAGCCAGCTAACACACCCGCTAAACCTGCTCTATAAACCATAGTTTGTAGCAATGTTGAAAGAAGCGCCAGGCAGAGAGACCTAGAGCCAATAACAATATGATGATACCTATAAACTGATTCCTTTTTTTTAATTTTCAAAATTTTGTAAATAATAATACACCTTTTGCTAACTTGTAAATTGTAATACACAATGAGTATATATAGAACTGATTTTTCTTTCTTCGATAGTAATACAATTGTCTGAAAATTTAGAATTTCAGCACAAAACTAATCTCATAGTGTATGAATCTTAGTTTAGTTCCGGCTGAATCCTACAAAATGGAAAAGCTTCTATGGCCCTTAGAACATAGAAAACTAAAAGTAGTGATACAAAAGAAGGCTTCTTAAAATCGTCTGCCTTGATGCTAACACAGATACTTTTTGCAGACATCAGACAACTCAGAAAACTTGCCTGATGTTTATGTTAATCCTCGAACTTTTGATGTACTCTGCGCAAAAATGTCCACTCTCACGAGACAATTCTGGTTCAAGTGCGCCAATATCCGCATTTTCTTCGTCAATGAAGATACGAGGCACACCTGCAGCATCAACAGATATAATCTCAGACCAAGCAGAGAGAGAGAAAATGTAAGAAACTAGAGATTCTTTCTTGTGAAAGAAAACATGTAAGCTGGTGATTCAAATGAAGTAAGGTTTACCATGAAAACATTCTCTGGCTTCTCCAGCCATTAGTACAACATCTCCACTTCTGAGATACATAGCATGAGGATTATCCTCTTTTGATTTTCCTCCCAAGAGGAAAATAGCTTTACATCCCAAGCTGAATAAGAGGAAACACAGTCACTCTACAGCGCTATTTAAGTTTTGCAAAGAAAGAAGACAAAGATGTATATACCTCATGCTTACTATGGGTTTACTCCAGTCAGCTTCCATGTCATCAAGATGGCCTCCAAGGGTATCACCTAAAGAGTAAGTTCAAAATAGGTCTTCAAACTTCAACACTTTATTAAGACTAATCCAAAGCATTGTAATACAACATTTAAAGATTACACTACCTAAGCCAAAATAGTTTACAATCGCACCCTCTGGACGAAACTCCTCCCCAACAGGCATCGCAATGGCGGCATGTTTCTTAGCTAGTTGATAAAGTCCATCAGGGATGTTGTTATGAGGCAGAGAAACATCATAATTGCGCTGAAAAAAGCATTCAATTCAGGTTGCAGTAGATACTAATCTATTTCATCAAAACAAGTTTCAAAAAATCAACCTTGGACCAATCAAACTGTAAACCAAGAGTGCTCCAACGAAGCTTCCTTAACAGAACTGAAGCTGAAACTGATTTGCAACTTCTTTGTTTAGCTTCTTCACCATCATAGAACTTCCATCTATTGGTATCCTCCTGAACCAACACCTTGTTGTCTTTAGCTGATTCAAACAAATCAGTAACAGGACCGTAAATAGCATTGTGGTTTGTCCTATTCGGAGGCTGAGGGAAACTCGTCAAGCTCTCTTTGATCCATTTGCACTGCTCCTCCAAACTCAATGCATTAGGGATAAAGTAAAACCCTAAAATCAAAAATCAAAATTCACTTCCACATAAGTTTCAACCTTTTATAGAAAATCTTCATACCCAGAATCAGAATTACAAAACCCAAACTCTGTCAGATCCTAATTTTGCCTTTTACCGGGACGATTCACGATGCAGAAAACAGAGGAATCAGATTCTGAAACCCTAACTCCGTCGGGTAAAGCACCGGTCTTGTTGAACTCTTGTGAAACTGAATTGAAATCGAGAACCGATGACAGATCAACCGGTTTAGGTAGCTTCTTCCTGCGAGATTGAGTGAATATAAGAGGAAGGAGACAACAAAGGTAGTGATGGATGGGGGAAGATTAAAATAAAGGTGCTTACTTTCTAGAGAATTTTGAGTCTTGTTCATAGTAAAGTTTGTATTTTTTCTCTGCTCGCCGGAAAGCCGTACGGTCTGCGTCTTCGGAGACGTTCGCCGATTCGTACATCTTCACTAGTCGTCGACGATTAAATCTCTGTCTCCGGGAATTAACGAAGCCGAGTTTAGTTTTTTTTGTTTCGGTTTTAGACTACTTTTTTAATTTGCGATGAAGACCCTGGCTTTTCGTTAAATTCGTTTTAGACCTACTTTTAACAAAAGTGGCAAATGAACCCTGCAGTTCTTCTACTTTGAAATTACAAAAAAATTAACATATAACAATTTGCACCTAAAGAATGAAACAAACAGTTAATCTAGACTAGCATTTTTGTTAAGAACATGCTTTGTACATTAAATTTAATGTTCAGTGAATAACTTGTCAGAAACCAAATCCTGCTACATCAACCATGTCTCATGTGTTTAGTGATCGTCAACTCTGATTAGTTTCATAATCTTCATTACAAAAAGCAGGCGTTTTGTTGGACATTAGACTGATATATCAGTTCAAATCAGGAAATGAAGACTTTCCAAAAAAAAAGCAAAAAGCTAAAACCATGAAACCGCTTATCAGAATCCTAGTCACTAGAAGTTCCACGGGGGGAAAAAGGAACTTCGAGCTACCGATAGTTTCAACTCATTTGGGTAAAAGAGTTAAAAGCAGACCAAAATGATCACTAGGCAACACTGGAAGCTCCAACTTCTTGACGTCACCCCTCACTCTCTTCTCTTTCACATAGGACAAACCAGGAATCGCCTCTTTCCCAACCATCTCGACTCCACCAAGCTTGTAATCATCCAGACGGCAGAAAAACCGGTCCAACCGTTTCTGCAAAGCTCTGTTACCAGACAACATCGGGTTTGCTTTAGTATCATACGTAAAACCGAGATCACCTGGTTTCAAAACCTCCCAAACATCAACCCATTTCTCTGGCAAAGGAAACTTCCCATCTAGCTTGTCGTCCCAGTTCATATCTCCCCCAAATACCACGTTGGGATTAGCTCTGAGCATCTCTACGGCTTCATTGGCTTGTTCAACGCGTTCTCGACTAAACATCTGGTCCCATTTAGGAGGACCTGGACATGGACTCTCGAGATGGCTTGTTGCCACAACAAGCGCCTTTCTCCCCGGAACTTCAACCTCTGCTACAGATAAGTCTCTTCCCATGATCGAGTTCCTAAAGCTTCTACAGCTTGAAGACTTCATCCCAACCTTGCTCAACTACAAAATCAACCATAAGAGCCAGTTACATAAAAAAAAATCACAGAAACTTGACAAATCCAAAAGCTTAGAGCCTACCATCATGCAGAAGTAGCCTTTTGATTGTGCCGCATCGAGTGAGACAGAACAAGTATACTCTTTCCACCAGTTGGATTTGCGGAAAATCTCATATATCTCAGGGATAACTTCCTACAACACCACATAACAACCGTCAAACTGCTTCTAAACCTTGCAGATGAAAACTCACTCAGTGTCAAATGTAAAAACAAGGTGACCTGAAAACATATGAGATGAGGAGAGTGGAGCTGAATAAGGTGACCAATCGCTCTCATCCTATTACTCAACTCAAGATCTTCACGAAACCAAACATTGTAGGTCAAAATCTTCACACAAGAGAAAGCTTCACCTGAACTAGAAGCTACCCCTATAAAATAAAGTCATCTCCATCATCATCACACTCAACAAGCTAAGAACCTTCAAGAAGTTTTAAAAATTCAACCTTTCGATTCAATTTCGTTGATTTTCTTCACAGAACCGCCACCAACTTCGATGACGTCATCATCATCCATGGCCTTGCGTTTGCTACACCGCCTAAGAGGAAAGAAAACCGACCCGACGGAGTTGTTGCTTTCGGGAACCGAATCGGTTAAATCTTCAAAGCCCAGGAGGGAAGAAGAAGAGGGAGGTCGGGTCCCGCAGATCTCGCAGGCTGAGTTCTTGTAGGTGTTGAGAAAGGTGCAGCCTTTGCACGCCCATTTAGGTTCGTCGTTGGAGGAAACGGAGAGGGAGGAAGGGGTGGAGACGGGAGTCAAGCAGATCATGCAGTTGAGCTTCTGAGAAGGAGAATTGAGGAATGTGCATTTGGTGCATGACCAAGAGGATGACGACGAGGGAGACGATGACGACATCGCGAGGGGAGCGGGTTTAGTGATGAGTCGGAGGAATCTGGATGCTGACATTTGACCTAATTCTTTATTGATTGATTTTGACCTTGACTTCGGTTTCCATTTAACGGTTACGTAGGATACGACGTCGTATTTCGGTAAGGTTTTCAAAATTTGAAGGTGGATCGTAATTAAACCGGACCTAATGCGAACTCAAGAGACTAAAATGGTCTATGAACAAAACAATAAATTACAAAAAAAATCATAAAACACAATGTTAACTTCACAAGAAAACAATGTTTATGAACCTGGAATTGTCACTCACCGTGGAAAAATGAACAATCACCAGAGAGGTAACAAAATATAAGTTACAAGAATCATAATACTAACGCAGAAGCCTCTTGAGAGACTCCTTGTGGAAGCTTCACCTCCGGGGACTTGAGTTGAATTCACCACCGTTTGTGTTCGGTTTCCTACCTTCTTGCTGCATAAAATGAAGCAAGAGACAGTGAATAAACAAAAAAATATATATAGAGTTAACAAACTTTTGAAAAGATAAGAAACTAGTTTCATACCTTCCTGGGAAAATGCAGCTTCCATGACCTGTGCAACATACATTTTCCCGATTTAGAAACTTTCCACAATGAAAAAAAACTGGAAAAGGATATACTCTGAATCTATACTTAACACAAACAATGATATGCTCTTGATCATCTTTTCTTGTTATATAGCCTTCTTGTGAATTAAAGTAGTAAAAAAATTGTAAGTGAATGAGAATGTACAAGCTCCCAAGACCATCTATGATTATAGTAGATACCATCGGACTCCCAACAAAATACCCTTTTAAGCAAAGGTGATTCATGAACAAGAGAAACTACCTTCTATGTACTGTATGTATATACTGGTCTAGGACATCTTATATGCTTACAATTGAATGAGAACCAAATTAACTAATGCAAGTTTTAACATATGATTGGTCACCAAAAACTACGTTTTGACACAAGACACTCTTAACAAACTCAGATACTATTTTCATGACCACCACAAAGTCTTTCACTAGAGACTACCAAGCAACAAAACCAATCACTATCTTCTCTAACAAATACAAAGAAACATGAAAAAACAAAACCATAGAGAGCAAGAACATAAAAAAAATACTTACTTGGGTCTGTAGTAGTAATCATCGCCACACCTTTAAAATCACAAGAACCAGAACCTCTCCCTTCCTTCTGATAATAACTATTAAAAGCAAAAGAAGTATGCCCCTTCACATTATTAGGCTGATAACAACTCTCCCCAGGCTGAATCTCACTACAATCAGCCCTCCCCGGCCCACAAGCCCAATCCAACGCAGCCTGAAGCGTCTTCACATCAACCCCATCCACAGCAACACAATACGTCTCATTCGTCGTATCATTCGCCAAAAACGCCCCACTCCCAGACACATGAAGCAAATAAACCGGAGTAGAGTTCCCATAAAACAACCCCCAGCTAGCTTCACTAACCGGAGGCGCCCTCTTATCCTCATCAAACAGCTCATAGATATACACACTCGAAGTCATCTCAGGATGCAAAGGAGTCCCCGTTCCCTCAAACACGTGCCTAATCAAATTCGAGTTATAACTATCAGCGTTATCTAACGTCGCATAAGGCTCTTTTGAGTCTCCTCGTGAAGGCCAACCCGTCTCAGTCACAAGCACAACCACATCCGTCACGTTAAGATTCTTCATCGACACGTAAGCAGCGTCCACCATCGCGTCAAGGACGTTAGTGTAATGCAACAACGTGTTGGGATCAACCATCTCTTTAGAAGGAGTCAAAGGCTTAAACAAACAGTTATCTAACGGAACAACTCCTTTATTCTCCATATACACATAGTAAGGATAAAGATTCATCATTAACGGAGAACCGGTTTTTGACAAGAAGTTAAGTAACGGCTCCATAACAGAACGCCACGTCTGATTAAAGTAAGCTTGTGAAGGAGGGAACGTCTCTAACATAATAGAAGCTGCGTGTGGTGTAGAGACTTTGACTTGATCGTGAAGATTCGAAGCTACGAGAGCGTTGTATAAAGACTCAATAGCGGGTAAGAGCAACGGAGCTGAAGAAGGGACCGTTGTTAAGACCTCATCTCCTACGGAGATGGCTGTGATTAACGTCTCCGGGTAATAAGCGACGACGTTACGGTCGATCCATGAAGCTGCGGTGGTGTTGGAGGAGCCTATAGCGAGGAACTGGTTGTTAGGGACGCTGATGACAACGCGTATGTTGGTTTTGGAGAGGGCTTTGAGGAGGTTTGGGTCGGAGTCGTATAAGCGGACGTGGTTTATGTTTTGGGTTTGGAGGAAGTTGATGAGATGTGGAGGAGGGAGGAGGGTGGTGACGTCGGTGCCGATGTTGAATCCGATGAATGGGTCTTTGTCTTGTTCTTGGGTCTTGATGATGGGTTGTGATAAAGGTGAAGACTTTGCTGTTGGAGAAGAAGTTAGAAAAGTTAGAGGCTTTTGGTTAAAGATTTGAGCTTTGTAAAGTGAGAAATGAACTTACCAGAGATTAAGAGATTGAAGATTACAATGAAGAAGAGTAAAAGACAAGTAGGGACAGTGGAGAACTTGCTAGTGGCAGCCATTGAAGAGGAGATTGAGCTTGTTCTGCTTCTGATTCAGACGCAGAAGCAGAAGGTTCTTGCATTATCTGCTTCAGTCTCTTTTAGTAGATTTGTTACTGTCTGGTTGAGGTAAGCTAAGAGAGTCGGTGAAGAAGAAGAGAGATTAGACATCGTTTTAGCCGTTTTTAGGGGTTTTAGGCGAAAGATTTATGCTTTCACGTGAATAAACTCTGTTCGTTCATCCCGACACAACTGGTTGGTTTTCAGACAGAAGGAAATAACGGAAATGCCCTTATACGGTAATAATAAAAGGCGCCAGCTGGACATCACTAGATTTCTTTGGAATGTGTGTATTTGCAACATCTCTATGTGATAAACTGATAACTATAGTTTCTATAAGACCATGTGTATGACATGGCTGTTAGTTTGGAACCTTTTACCTAACCATCATTCAAAAAAATAATGAATCTATCGGTTGTAAACGTCTCTGTATATCACAGACACTGGCATAGAAGTTGTCGGTCAGTTTGAAACTGAGTTTTTTTTTAATAAGTGACCGACATTGCTCTGTACCCAAAGAGGTTTCCAAGTGGCAGTGGCTATCTGCTTGGTTCATACATCTCTTCTCCCAGGTGAGTTACTGTTGCAGATGATCCACTTTCCACATTTCCATGATTGAAGCATATTTTTATCGAAGCTGTGGTGTTAATTGTGATCATCAGTCGGTTAATAGTCTGTGTACTGTGTGTACATTACAATACATTTGTTTATTCAGTCGGTTTTGAAAAGCTTGTTTTTATGTTTGATACCCATTAGTAAGTTTTTTAGATATGGCATTTAACATTGCTCTTTTCTAGAAACCTTAATGTTTTTATAATTCACTTATAATTCATTGCAGGCACTTGGAATGAGACTTTTGAGATGGACTGAGAGACATGAATACAAAGTGAAGTCATCAGTGATCTCTAATGTAGGACAGTAATTTACCTTCTCAAGCTACAATGTGACTTAACGAGTTTTTTTTTGTGTCGGATGAAACATTACACTATAGGCATGATGGGATATGCCGAAGAATAATATGAGTAGTTTTGGAGACATATATAACCATGGCGTGACCGAGTACACAAAGGGTAATGCATATGCACATGTGAAGGCGTAGACTGTTAATCTTATGAAATAAAGGGAAAACTTAATTAGTCTTGTTCTAAATATGTACAGATGGTTCAGTCAGTGTGCGTTGTGTGCTACTGCTATGTGCTCGTTCGTTTGTGTTTCAACTTCCAACTTAAACTCTCTAAATTTGAATAAAATGTTTCCACCACTTGGTTTTGGCGTTGTCTCGGTTCTCAACGGTTTAGTAGAGTTACAAATTTTCCTTACCAGTTTGGTTTACTCAATTTGAAGACGAATTTTCTTTGCTGTCTGATTATTTTGCCTAACTTTGAACTAAAAATAAACGTTGAATTATTACATCTCCAATATATGCAGTCACATGAAACTCAGCCACTACCGCTAAAGGGAAATCAAATTAGCTGTCGATATTAATGGATCCACCTACTCACTACAACAACAACATTCCAAATCCATTTACGCATTTATGGAATATACATTCCATTTCGAGCCCTACCCATTATACGTCCGTTAACCTATCTATCTTTAATTAGGTCTCAGTGATCAAGTATTCATGTTCATTTCGTTGGCATCTCAATTAATATACCATACAATGCGCGCGGTAGTGCTGTTGGTATTTTTATGTCCTTACTTACCTACCCTTCACGGCATGGCATCTCTATTCACTGGAATACTGCTTTTGGGTTATATAAAACCCTGTTTCAGGCGTCGGAAGTGATCTAATCCTATCCTGGTAACATGTTACACCACGTGAATTAAATAATTTTGCAGAAAATAGATTTCTTGTTTTAGCAAATAAGATGGAGCCACTCCACTACAGTCACCAAGACGTATGTTTAATTTGTTTCTATACGAAAGGATGATCGTATCCATATTTTAGTTTTGTTGGAAATGAAAAAAATACCATGAAGAATATGAACCAGTCACTCATTACCAATTAGCTCTCAATTAAAATTTTAGACACTTTTTAGAAATGTCGTTAAAAAGAAGATGTTATCAAAGCTTATGATTTTGAGTTACAATTTACATCACAAATATGTCTAAAATTGTTCAACTATATATATCATAACATTTCCATGCACAACGTTCACGTTTAAAGATCTGGATTGATGATATGTTTTTACGTACCTCTTTTTGTATAAAAAGTATAGTTCGTTTGGCACGTTCATTTAGGCTAATTCACCTAATTAAGGTACATTGTCTTTAATCCAAATCTATTCGCATTTATTTCGCACCCAAATTAGGTGTGTATGCGTATATAAATACACACCCTGTAAAACACAAACCTCATCCTAAACAAAAAAGAATCTCTACCATCAAAGCAAAACATGAAAGCCACTTTCACTAACTTGTTTGTGCTTCTGTTCATTGCACTTGTTTGTGCAAATGTTGGTGCTAGGAAACTTATTTCCGGAGATACCCAATTCGAGGATGAAAAATTCCTTGGCGGGGGTGGAACCGGTGGTGGCCTAGGGCTTGGCCTTGGTGGAGGAGCTGGCGTTGGTGGTCTAGGGATTGGAGCTGGTATCAATGCCGGAGCTGGAATAGGTCTAGGTGGAGGCAGTGGGGGTGGTGGTGGACTTGGAGGTGGCGGTGGTGGACTCCTCGGTGGAGGCGGTTTTGGGGGAGGAGCCGGTGGCGGTGGACTTGGTGGTGGTGGTGGTGGACTTGGTGGTGGTGGTGGCTTTCCTTGAACGTATAGCAAGTGTTTGTGTGTGTGTGTGTGAGAGCTTATTGCAGCTTATTATACTTCTGAAGTCATTTTCATTGCCATAATAAATCTAGAAAATTGAATTAAACACATTTCAGCTTATGTAATGGACGAAATCGTATTATGTGTAACGTTCAAATATTATGATTAATTAGTGGAACATTTCCTATTTATTTACTATTTGAGTTTTCTCTCTTATATGATATGAAAGAGATTGTTCTATTTGTCTATTTACGACATGCTCGGATCTTCACATGACTCTTGGTTGTAAAGAATACAAGACCTTGATGAGCATAATGCAAAGTCACATATAACCACACGAAAAGTGTTGAAAACAGCTTGATTATATCATCATGTTTCCATGTACTTTGATTATAAAAATGGGTTAAAATGTCTCTTATATAAATGATTATTTTGCACACACAAAACAATTATATATGTAGATAAATAGAACATGCCTTATTCATACATCCAAAGATTGGGTGGTACCATGACTCATATATATCCATAGAATCAAAGCTCTTGATTACGTTTTCAAATATTCAATGGATCAAAATGCTAACAATATAAAGAAAGTCTACAAACTCCATAAGTTTCAAAGAGAGTTTTTCTTTCTTTTTAACAACAGTTTCAACAAGAGAGTTGTATCGGAAATAAAACAAACATCAAACCTTTTCTTTATGTTTATTTTGATTTTACAAAATTATAAAGAAGAAGATAAAGGAGAGAACAATACTTACCACTCAATAGGGATGTGGTTTGCTTTAGCTGATGATTCCTCCACCACCACCAACCCATGGTTCTATTTTTTAAAACTCACCATTTTAATTCAATTTAAAATCTTCCTAAAAGTCCCTTTTGCCACTGAAACCGATATTTTTTAATTTATTTATTACCTAATTCATCAGTTCAAAGCAATAACGACACTACAAAGTAGTAGGATCAGGAATCTGGAACGAACCTCACAGAGGCAAAAACACACAAAGTCTCAACCTTTGTAAGATTTCTACACAACCCTTCTCATATTTTCTTCTCAAATCATGTTTTCGTTCACATAATCGCCGTTAATATGTTGATTACAGACAACATTTGTTTGATCTCAGATGTTATGTAATGAATCTGAATCTCATAGTTAAGGCTTTTATGGATTCAGAGTGTTATCCTTTTTTGTATATTTGATTTGTATTTTGATTATTCTTGGATCAAACTGTTATGTAGAAGATGAGAGGTGGGAGTCTATGGCAGCTAGGACAATCCATAACCCGTCGTCTTGCTCAATCCGACAAGAAAGCCGTGTCACGCCGCTGTTTTGCCTCTGATGCCGACTTAAAAAAGACAGCTCTTTACGACTTCCACGTCGCACACGGTGGAAAGATGGTTCCTTTTGCTGGTTGGAGTATGCCAATTCAGTACAAAGACTCCATCATAGACTCAACTGTTAACTGCAGAGTCAACGGAAGCTTGTTTGATGTTGCACATATGTGTGGTTTGAGTCTCAAGGGCAAAGACTGTGTTCCTTTTCTTGAGACGCTCGTGGTTGCTGACGTGGCTGGTTTGGCTCCTGGAACAGGGAGCTTGACGGTGTTCACTAACGAGAAAGGAGGTGCTATTGATGACTCTGTGATTACTAAAGTGACGGATGAGCATATCTATTTGGTTGTGAATGCTGGTTGTAGGGATAAGGATTTGGCTCATATTGAAGAGCATATGAAGGCTTTTAAGTCTAAAGGTGGTGATGTCTCTTGGCATATCCATGATGAGAGATCTCTTCTCGCTCTTCAGGTTTGGCTTATTGAATTTAAACCAAAAGATTGTCTCCTTGTAGTTATAGTAATCTTGAGCGTTGTGATGTAGGGTCCTTTGGCTGCTCCAGTGCTTCAACACCTGACTAAAGAAGACTTGAGCAAGCTTTACTTTGGACAGTTCCAGATCCTGGACATTAATGGTTCCACTTGCTTCCTTACCAGGACCGGGTAACATCTCATGTTTCACTGTCAGCTTTTAGTCAGATGCTATAATAGTCCTGAACATATTATCCGTAAGGTGAAAACCAAACCGAACCGAACAAAAACCCGAACAGTTCCTATTTTTTGAAACCTGAAAAATCGAAACCGAACCGAGAACCGAAATAAGAAAAATATTAGTTATTTTATATTTTTTTGTGTATGAAATATAATTTATTAACCAAAAAAAATTCCAAAAAAATCCGAATTATTTTAACCAAAAACCGAATGCCCAACACTATGCTATACTATCTTCTTGTTTCTTGGTTCAGCTAGAAAGAGTTATGTTTTGGGTTTTCAGGTATACAGGGGAAGATGGGTTTGAGATCTCAGTTCCATCAGAGCATGCAGTTGATTTAGCCAAAGCAATCTTGGAGAAATCCGAGGGGAAAGTAAGGCTAACAGGTCTAGGAGCAAGAGACAG